AACCACCCTTTTTTTTTTTTGGGGGGACGGGTTTTTAAAAAACCCCAAGGGTTGAAAAAAAACCCCCCAAAAAAAATTTAAGTAAAATAAATTAAAATAAAATAAATAAAATTTTAAATAAAATAAATAGTTTAAAAAGGTTTTTTTTTTTCCAAAATGGGAAAAAAAAAACTTTTTTTAAGGGGCTTTTTTATTGGAAAAAAAATTTAATAAAAAGAAGGAAAAAATCCCAAAAAGGGGGGCTTTTTTTTTTTTTCCCGTCCTTTTGGGCCCATTGGTTTTTTTTTTTTTTTTCCATTCGGGGAACTTTTTTTAAAAAAAAAAAAACCTTTTTTTTTTTTCTTTTGGAAATTAAATTTTTTTTTTTTTTTTTTTCCAAAAGGGGGAAAAAAAAAACTTTTTTTTCCCCCAAAAAAAAAAAGTTAATTTTTTTTAAAACAAAAAAAACTTTTTTTTCAAAAAAAAAGGGGGGAAAAACAAACAAAAAAAAAAAAAATAAAAATTTAAATTTTTGTTTAAAAAAAGGTGGGAAAAAAAAAAAAAAAACCCCAAAGGCTTTGGAAATTTTTTATTTTTGGGGGGGAAAAATTTTTTTCCCCAAAAAAGGAAAGGTTTTTTTTTTTTTAAAAAAAAAAGTGTTTTAAAAACCTTGGCAAAAAAGGGGTAGGACGAAAAACCCCAAAAAAAAAAAAAAAAGTTAAAAAAAAAAAAAACAGAAATACCAAAAAAAGGGATCCCCTTTTTATCTTTATATAAATTTTTTTTAAAAATAAATTAAAAATAAATTAAATAAAAAATTAATAAAATAAAAAAACTTAATGGGAATTAATCTTTTTAAGAAAGGTTTGAAAAAAATTTCTAAAAAAAAAACCCAATAAAAAAACGAAAGGCCCCCAGAAGAAAAGGTGGAAACTTTTTTGAAAAAGAAACAAAAAAAAAAAAAAAGTGATTCCAATAAATTAAAAGAAAAAAATAAAAAAGAAAAAAACCCCCCCCCAAAGGGGGGGGGGGGGGGGCAAGGGGGGGTTTTTTAAAAAAACCAAATTTGGTTTTTTTTTTTAAAAAAAACCTTATTTTTTCCTCCCCAAAACTTGAAACCCTTTGGTTTTGGGTTTGTGGGGGCCCCCCCCCCGGTTTTGGGGGGGGGCCCCCCCCCCCCCAAAAGGGGGGGGAAAAAAAAAAAGAACCATTTTGCGATGGCTTTACAAAAATGGGGGTGTGTTTCGGGGGCTTTTTGCCCGGTTTGAAAAGGGGGAAACGGGGGGGAAAAGGCCAAAGCACCCGGGGGGGGGCCCAAAAAAAGAGTTGGAAAGGAAAAATTCCGCCCGGGAATTTTGGGGGGCCCCCTCGGGGGGCCCCCCTGGGGGGCCCTGGGGAAAAAAAACGGCGGGGTTTTTCCCGAAACCCTTTTCCCAAGGGGGAATTTTCCCCGTTTTGGGAACCGAAAAAATTTTTCAAAAAAAAACCAAAGGCTTGAAAAAAAAAAACTTTTTTTTTTTTGAAAAGGGATTTTTAGAAAAATTTTCCCAAACAGCCGTTTGGGAAAAAAGGGGGGGGTGGGAAAGGGGGGGGGGGGTGGGTTTTTTCTTTAAACATTTTTCACAAAAAAAACCCTTTTTTTCCCAAAAAAAAAAAAAAAAAAAAAAAACCTTTTTTCCCCTTTAAAAATAAAATTTTCCTCTTTAATTTTGATTTCCTAAAAAAAAAAGCAAAAAAAAACAAAAAAAGTCTTCCCGGTTTTTTCTTAGGGAAAAAAAAAATTTCTTAAAAAAAATAGAATTAAAAAAATACAAAGTTAAAAAAAAAGTTTTTTTTTTCCATTTTTTTTTCTTTTTGGCCAAAAAAACTTAAGGGGGGGCCCCCCCTTTCTTTCCCAAAAAAAAAAAACCTTTTTTTTTTCCTGGGAAAACAAAAATTTAAAGGAGGGATTTGAAGTTTTGAATTGAAGGGTTTGTTTGAAAAAAGGGGGGGCCAAGCCGGGTTTGGGGGGATTTTTTTCAAATTTGGGAAAGGTTGGTTTTTGGGTTCTTTTTCCCCAAAAAAAAAACCCCCCCCCAAACCAAAAAAATTTTTTTTTTTTGTTTTGGTTTTCATTTTTGCAAAAAGTTCAAGGGGCTTCCTCCCCCCGGGGTTTAGAAATTTTTTTTCCCTTTCCAGGTTGTTTTCCCCCATGGTTTTTTTTTTTTTTTTCAGGAAAAAGGTTTTTTTCTAACCGGGGAAGGCCCAAAAAAATTAATTCCAACCCCAAAAAGGGGGAAGGGGGGGTTTTTCTCCCTCCCCTTCCCTTCCAAAAAAAACCCAAAAAAAAAAAACAAGTGAAAAAAAAAAAAAAAAACCCGCTGAATTTTTAAAACCCCCCAAAAAAACAAAACCCCCCAAAAAAAAACTTGTGGAATAAAGCCCCCAAAAAAATTTTTTCCAAAAACCTTAAAAAAAATCCCAACTTTTTGGGGTGTTTCTCCAAAACTGGTTGGGGGGGGAAAAAACCAAAAGGAAAAAAAAAAAAAAAAACAAAAAAAGGACAAAACGGGTCCCCCCCCCCGGAGGGGGCTTTTGGCGAGGGCCCAAAGGGCTGTTTTTTTTGCCTAAAAAACCGTTTTATTTTCCTTTTCCTCCTTTTTCCTTTTTTTTTTCCTTTCCCCCCCTTTCCCCCCCTCCCCGTTGTTTTTGTTTTTTTTGAAGAAAAAAAAAGAAAAAGGGGATATAAACGTAGGGCCAAAAGGGGGGCAAAAAAGGGGCTTTGGGGGGCTTCGCGGGCCAAAAGCCCCCCCCCTCCGGGGGACGGGTTTTTTTTTTCCCCTTTTTGGTTCCTGTCCCAAACCCAAAAAAGTGGAGAAGGCCAATGGAATTTTTTTTTTTTTTTTTTTTAAAGGTGAAAAAACTGGGCCCTTTTAAATTTTTTTTTTCCAAAAAAGGTGTTGTTAGTGGGTTTTTTTTTAAAATTTCCAAAAAGCGGGGGTTTTCTGGGGTTTTTTGGTTTTTTTGGGGAAAAAGAGGGGGAAAGGGAAAGGGGAAAACCCCCCCCCTTTTTCTGTTGGGGAATTTTAAAAAAAATTGGCTTTTTTTTTTTTTTTCCCCCGGGTAAGGGAAAAAAAAAAAAAAAAAAAACCTCCCTGAAACCATGGATAAAAAAAACAAAACTGGGGAAAAGGGAAAAAAATTTTTTTCCCCTTTTTTAAAAAACCCCGGGGGGGGAAAAGGAAAAAAGGGGCTTGAAAACTTTGCAAATTTTTTTTTGGGGAAACAAAAAACCCCCCCCCCAAAAAAAAAAATTTGGGGGGTTGGTTTTTGAAAAAAAGGAAAAAAAACAAAAAAAAAAAAAAACAAAAAAAATTTTCCCCCATTAAAAAATCCCCCCCCAACGGGGGCTTTTGGGGCTCCCCCAAAAAACCCCACCCTTTTCCCCCAATCAAAAAAAACTTTCCCAAATTTTTTTCTTTTTTCTTTTTTTAATTGTTTTTTTTTTTCCCAGGGAAAGGGGTGAAAAGAAAGGGGGCCCCCCCCTTTAAAAGGGGGCCAAAAGGGAAAAATTTTGGGGGAAAAAAAACTTTACTGTTAAAAAAAAAAACTTTTAATTTTTTTCCTAAAAATTTAAAGAAAAAATTTTTTTCTAAAAGGAAAAACGGGAAGGGAAAACTTTTTTTGTGCTTTTTTTTTAAGGGGGGAAAAAATTTTCAAATAAAAAAAGAGAAATTTTTAATTAAAAAAAGGAAGGGTTTTTTGGAGGGTTGTTGGGGGGGTGGGGGGATTTTGTTAGGGGGGGAAACCCCCCCCCCCCCCCCCCCTCCCCCCCCCTTTTTTCAAACCCGGCTTGTTTTGGGATTTTTTTTTTTTTTTTTCCTTAATCCCCTTTCCCAGTTTTTCAAAAAAAAAAAAAGGCTTGGTTCTGATCGGTCACGGATTCCTGGGAAAAAAGGGTTTTCGGGACGCCGGGTTTTTCCAAAAAAAAAGCAAAGGGGGGCGAGGGGGGCCATTTGGCGGGGGGGCGCATTTCCTTTCTCTTGCCGTTTTTTGCTTGCTTTTTCCCGTTTTTTTCCTTTCCCCACCGGGGAAAGGCCCCCCGGAACCCACCAACCATGGGTAGGGCATTTTTCGCCAAATGGGTTTTCTTTTCCAAAACCCTTGGGGGCCCCACGGGTTTCCACAGAAAAAAAACAAAAAAAAAACAGGTCAGGTTGAAAAAAAAAAAAAGGATTAGTTTTTAAAAAAAAAAAACAAAAAAAAATGTTTAAAAACTTTTGGGGCTTTTGGGTTTCTTATTTTTTTTCTTTTTATTTAATTGGGGATTCAACTTTTTTGGTTCTTTTCTCAGTTTCTGCTTCTTGGCCTTTTCTTGGTTTTAATTTTTTGTTTTTTTTAGAATTCAAACTTCTTTAAAAAAAAGGATAAAATTCCTTAAAAAAAATGGTTTTTTAAAAAAATTATTATTTTATTATTATTTAATTTTTAAAATTAAAAAAATAAAATTATTTTTTTTTTAAAAAAAATTTAAAAAAAAAGGAATTCTGGTATTTCTGTTCTTTAACTTGTGTTTTTTTTTCGGTTTTTTTCCTAACCTGGCCAAGTTAAAACCACTTTTTTGGAAAACCTTCCTTTGGAAATTTTCAATTTTTTAAAAAAAAAATCCCAAGGGTGCCTTGGTCTTTTAAACATTTTTTTAAAAAAAATATGGTTTTTTTGTTGGGTCTTTTTTTTTGAAAAGTTGTTAAAAATTTTAACTTTTTTGGGAAAAAAGTTTCCTGAAATTATTTTCAAAAAAAGAAGGTTTTTTTTTTAAAAAAAAAAAGGTTCGAAATTGAAACATTTTTTTTTTTTGGGGCAAAGGAACGGAAGCTTGATTTTCTCCTTTTATAATCATAAAGCTAGTTCTCCATTGCGAAATAACTTAACTATATATTATTATTATTTATTATTATTTAACTATTTGTCACCTTGTAAACGGTCAAAGTTGTCGATTGAGGGCATCGCAAGGCCAGGTGTTAGAGGTCATTCAGCCAGAGTCACCACCTGCAGGAGTGAGGGGGAGCGAACAGGATCAGCAGATTTACAACAGGCAGAAACACCTTGGCCCATGAATTCAGCGGCTGTTTCTGGGGTCGGGGGTCGTGGGCCAGGGGTCGGGGGGTTTTAGCGACTCTGCTCACCTCCATCGGCGTGCTCTCTGCTGCAAGGATGGCGGGGTGAAACCCACAATGTCGCTTGAAGTAAATGCGTGACCGGGAGGTCGAAGGCTTCAAGCCTGAACCGGTCTCACCGCGCTTTCAAACTGGCCTCCGCCTACTGGAGCTGAGACGGGGGACGAGGAGAAGCGTCACACTTTATTTGACTTTTTTAAATAGGGAGGGGAACAGCAGACGCTTCATTACTTTTGCAAAAAACAAGGGGTGTAGTATTACAAAAGGTTCACAAATTAGAACAGCAGTAGTGCAGCCAGGCATTCAGCTGTCAGTATATTTTTTTTTAGGGGGCCCGGGAGGCAGCGCACATGGGCTCCGAATCTTTGGGATCCTAAATAACACAAAAAGATCTCAGCTTTTGGCTTTTAACAGATTTCTTCTGACCATGATTTTTGGATGCATTAGCCCAGACTTGATATTTAAACTCCTTCCACATCCACCTTTTTGGCTTTTTTGAGATTAACTATCTTCTAGTCCACGCTTCTTATATATTATATTATTATTATAATCATCTTAATTGAAATATTATCTTCCATTTCTCACGCAATAGACTTCCTCCGAAATGTTACACACTGGCGACCTCATTTGTGAGGAAAATCACACCAGTATTGTGGAGGTTATTGTTGTGGAGTATCGTTACATCCCATTGGTAGCCTCCAAGGTAAAGGTCAGAGGGCGAGGGGAGGGGAGGGATGAGGGGAGGAGAGGAGGGAGAGGAGACAGCAGAGAGGAGACAAGGGGGGGAAACAGGACAGAACAGACAGACAAGAGGAGGAGGGAAGAGAGAGAAGAGGAGAGAGAGAGAGAGGCCAGGACCAAAGTAACCCCCTAATTAATGTTTTTTCGGAAATATGTATAAATAATACAAAAAAAGTATCTTGGGTAACAGTATGGTATAATATATATATAGTACTTTAGCTGGTTTGGTAGGTTTATCTGGTACAGTAGTATTATATATATATCTATATAGTACTTACTGGGTGGTTTGAGGTATCTGTACAGTAGATATATATAGTACTTACTGGTGTGGTAGTATCTGGTACAGTAGTGCTTCAGCCTTGCGTTTCTCCTCATGATAAGCTTGCGTTCGTTCCTCCACCAGCTCCTCCAGGTTGTTGGCGTACTGCTCCATTCGGGACAGCAGGTTGTCCAAGATGTTGGTCCTCGACTCCCTGAAATACACACTCAGTATTACACTCAGTATTACACTCAGAATTACACTCAGTATTACACTCAGTATTACACTCAGTATTACACTCAGAATTACACTCAGAATTACACTCAGTATTACTCTCAGTATTACACTCAGTATTACACTCTGTGTTACATTTGACTTTGAGAGTTTGGAAAGTTTATTATGCGTCTAACTATACAACCATCACATCAAGGGAGGCTGGAGGTGAAATGCTGCCCTCTGTTTGTTTGGAGCATGTATTGAATTACAACTTGCTCCTATAAAGGATGATGTGTCTTTGATGACTGCCATTATCATCATACAGTGTGAAGCCAGTGATTTATCCTGCAGTCAGAAGCTCTTTCTGTCAGAAGCTCACAGACTCTGAGATAATTACCTGTTTTTTTTATCTCCCCCTCCACATTAAAGGTGCAATCAGTGATATTTTAATGACTATTTGCATAGTCGTTATCAGCAGAAGTGTTGATATTTACAACAATCACTCCACTCTCCCATAGCGCATTCAAACAGATTACTGTAGGCCTGCATTATGTGCTTGTTGTTTTAATGCATATGAGGAGATTTTAATAGATTTCTAAAAAAGATATTTAATTTTTTTTTGCATCATTGCACGCCTTCCAAGCTTTAAGACCGGTGTGTATAGAACATGTTCATATACACATAACATGATCATTTTTTTTTTGACTACTTTGACTACTCTACTTGAGTAAAGAATGTTTGTGAGGTGTTTTTAAAGATCCTTCAGAGTACAGCCGCCACTAAAGAGTCAAATTTGACTGATTTCACCTTTATGTTTCATCTGTCGGGCACTCACTTGTTCTGCTTGCGCAGCAGCAGGCGGATGTGGTTGAACTCTGGTCTCTCCGTCGGCTCCTCGGCCCAGCAGCGCTGCATCAGCTGACCCAGCTCAGGACTGTGGCTCTGGGGGTCGATGGTCGGTCTAAGGCAGGGCCACTCACCCAGAACCACCCGGTCCACGATCTCTGCAGAGGGAGGGTAGCGTCAGGACTGGATTAGGAAAATATGAACGCTTCTCACAGGAAAGGAGAATTCTGTTTAATATGTGTGTATTCTCTTATTCTCCCTCTGTATTTTTTAATGTATACAACAATTTTATCTTAGCTTTAAACTTATGGTGAGAGTTAAATATGATAACAAGTGGTTTTATAGTATTTGCAACCAAAAATAGATAGATGGTTATTAAACTGAGTGGTGAAACTGAGAAAAATTATGCAAAACTGGACTGAAGAAGAGAAACTCTGCTGGATGAAGGAAAAAGAAAGTGAAATAACAAAGATCTTAATCATCAACCAGTCTGAACAGGGACAGAAATAATGAAGTAGTTATCTTGTGAATTGTTCTCTCTTGTTTTAATTGCCACAGATGTTTGTGCACAAAAACAGACTTTAATTCTTTAGAGCCACTTAAGAATAAAACTATATTTATGTCTTAATGACTAAAGGCCTCAGTGTCGCTCAAACTAAGTGCTTGTTTGTTCGTCCAACAAAGTTTTTTTCTTCATACAACTATTTCTCTCTCTCAACTGAGTGCAACAGGAATGTCTTTCAGGAGAGAAACTGCAGCCGTTATATATATATTTGTCTGATTAATCACATCAAGACTATAAAGATGAGTAAAAGACACCAAAGCTGCAACTTCTGCAACATCTTCTCTCATATGAGTTTTGACACATTAAACTGATTGAAAGGAACATATGTGCCTGGTTGCCTGGGGCAGATAAAATGCCACCCTGGGCTCGTAAAACTAGTCTCACTTGCCATATGGAAGTATCTGAAGAGCGAGCCAACTCTCTTCCTTCTCATCTCTGTTGAGAGTTGCACATGCTCAGTACTGATCAGCACTCGGCAGGTAAAGACAAAGTTTATGAGCTAAAGCGAAACAGGAGTTTAGTTGGGTGGCGTTGGAGGATGTGGGTGAAACTCCAACCAGCTGCAAGTCAGTAAAACAGGGTTGTTTCTCAGAGGCTTGTTAAGGTCCCGAAAATGTCGCTGTGGAGCCTTAAAATGAGCCGACATCATCTTACTCGTATTTCAGCCATAAGAGAGAATACCAGACAATATTCTCTCCATAAAATATGATCCAGTTTCACCCAAATCACTGATGTTGTGCTTCTGTAAGAGTGATGAAGTTGTAATAAAGTTTTATAACCGATAACAAATTTTTATAGGAGCAAGCACAAATTGACATACAAATAGTCTGCATGGAACAATAATGTGTGTCTGCAAACAAAGTATAATTCCCACATTCAAATATCTAAAAAGTCATCTACTCCTACCACACACACAAGATGTCTCCTCCTTCACTGTGAAGTTCCTCATGAATGTGAAAACATCCTTCTAGTGTCAAACTCTACACGTACAACGTTCTGCACAGTGAAGATATTTTTTACTTCCAGAATTCCTAGAAACACACTTCATCTGTAACTCTGCTCTGCTTCTTTCTGCCTTCTGTGGTTTGGAAACGGAAATGTTTCCATGTCAACTTCAGTGATTTCAACTGTACACAAAACACACTACAATTGAGATTTGACCTGTTTTAAATAAGGCCTCTGACAGACTGCAGGCTCTGAAGCGGTTCGACACTTCAGCGTCGGCGGTTCAAGTCCTGGAAAGTGTTTTTGGGAATACAACTGGAAAGGAAGAAAGACTGCTGAGTTATCGAAGCGTCGTCCAGCTGGCTGATCATCACTGCTGGCGACAGGTCGGGGAAAAAAATAAAAAAAATCCCACAATAAATGTCACATCTTTCTCTTTTCACCCTCTCAGTCATACAGCGGTTCTCCCTTTTCTCTCATTTTCCTCCCCCTCCTCTCCTGTCTGGGTGTAATTGCTGGTTTCAATCGTGTCATGCTCCGTTTCTAATTCCCCTCATTCAGTCGTCGTCACGACTCGGACTAAATTGCTTCAAATCCCTCCATCCATCCGCCGCTGTGTTCGCTGCTTCTCTCACCACTTCCTGATCAACGACTGAACGCAGCAGCAGTTTCCCATCAGGTCAATAACACTTTCAGGAGAAGAACAGACCCTCAGAACATCGTTAATTTCACTAATTAAAAATATCCACGAGGTAAAAACACTTTCCAGTGAATGATGGAGGACAACCAGTTGTTGTCTGATAATTTAATTCAGATATTTAAACTAATTTAGATAATTTCCTTTTATATATTATTTTGTTGGGCTGTTTATTTAATATTTCCTCAGAAACAAGACTTGGATCAGCATTTTTTTGGCTTATTCATATGGTTACATCTGAGATTTATAACATTAATATATCAGCTTAAACAGCTAATTCTCTATTAAGCATACGAGAGTCACATGGTGTCCTCCTCCTCCTCTTGCCCTGTGTGTGATCGCAGACCCCCTCTGTGTCTCACGCGGGGACAAAAAACAAAAAACTTGTTTCCAATTAAGACAGCTCTGCTCCGACTTGACACTACTGGTTTTTATCACATCTACCGTCGGTGAATTAAAGATTTATTCCACCAAACCCAAGAGTTGGTGATTGCTGGAAAGACTAACAGAGACAGTTTTAGTGAGTTTTATTCTGTTTCTGTCCAATTGTTGATGATCTAGTGTGACATCCATATATATCCTTTAATCTTAGACATAAAAATATTTTCTACATTGTTGTTGTACAGATTTTGTATGTTTGTATTGGATTTTATTTTCCAAATGATTTATAATTGTTACCCTTTTTGATTGGTTGTGGCAACATGTGGTTTTAATGTAAAAATGTGTTGTTTCATTTTGTGAATTTGATTTCTTTTCCACATTTTTCCAGTTTCAGTTTTGAGACATTCAAACTGTCAGTTTCAACTGAATGATGGACAATCAGCTGCCAAACTGGGACACACGTGGTCTTAATGAGAGGAAATGTAAATGCAAAAGGAAAGAATCAAACATGTTGCATGCTCTGTGTGAATAATCAAATGTTGCTTGGTATAAAATCAGGAGAATTAGCCCTGATGAAGCCCGGCGCTGCTGGAACACGTTATGGATTTGACCTAAACTGACTTCTCAAACCTTCACTGGGAGCCTCTGTTTGTGGGGAAAACTCAGACTTGAAGTAGATAAACAGTTTTTTTTTTTTTAGTCTTCTGTTCTTAGAGATTCATTCTTTGGAAATGTGTAGTAGAAGCCAATCTCCAAACCAAACTGACCGCACTTGAAACCGTTTTTCTCAAAACAGAAACAAACTAAAGAAGAAAAATTGGGAAACTCAGTTTTCCAGGTTTAAGTGGTTTCTGACTCAACAAAACACATCGTTTGGGCTTTTTATCTAATTTTTCAAATCTCTGGTTCATTCCTGGAGAGAAACAAATGTGATTGTCAGCATGCGGCTACTAGTACCAACATGAAACCCAGAATTATGTCCTGCTGGGTTCTGTCTGTTCAGCCCGCTTCTTCTCTAAAAGCTATTTCTTCTCTAATCCATTCGCAGCATGAAACAGGCTTACTGTGGTCTTATAATTTGTTAATTGCTGGTATTATTTAATTGTACTCTACCATCACGAATGTCACATTTATTCTGAAAATACTTGAGTGTCTAGACAGGAAGCGGTTTCTGTCATCAGTGCTGTTAATGCTGTTTGTTTATCAGTCATCTGTAGAGGTTAACAACATGACCTACAGGTCCAGTAAACCTCACAACCTCTCTGGACCACTGACAGTGTATATTACGGACAGAGCTTCCGGGTCTGTGAAGTGCAGAAACAAAACAGCCCAAAACCTTTTGTTGACATGTATCCTTCCATCTATTCGTTTCCTACCAACGTCCATGTGGCAGCACAAAACATAAAGTTTAAAGTGGAATTTAGATTCATCTTATATCTGCAAGAATTCAAAAACTCTGGTTCAAATCCTCTGTCTCCCCTGTCTCTCTACCCACCCTCCCCCCGGGGACTGTGCAACACTCCTTCAAGGACTGTTTTTATTGGCACTTTTATTCATCATTTATTTATTGTTTGTATGTTTTTAACCCCTTACTACCGTCTGCTATTGTCTTTTAACCTACAGTCTTCACTACTGGACACCTGAATTTCTCCATCGGGTTTCATAAATGATCTCTGTAGTCAAACTCTGACAGTAAAAGGCCATCGGAACTGTTCTGAAATGGATAATCAGACCTTGTAAAACCTTCATGCATATACTGGATCCCACCTTTAGGGCTGAGTGGGTCTCCCTCCAGGTAAAAGGCTCCTCGGCGCAGTGCCACCTCCTGGAGGATGATCCCGAAGCTGTAGACGTCTCCTTTCTGCGTCCCCTGGGGAGGAGGAGACTCCATCCGGAGCAGCTCTGGAGCCATCCACAACCTCTCTGCAGGAGAGGAGGGCAGAGGAGATAACGTTAATGAGGATTGCTGAATGTTTGGTCACACTGATTGTACTCTTCACTTATTCTTCAAATCAGATAGTTCAGGATTTAAATCAGAATTTCACCAATTTTAGATTGCATTTTTTTTTTTGCCATTGTTCTTCTCCAGCTGTGGAAAGGAACAAGCTACTAGAGCACAAAAGATGGATGAATGCCGAACAGAGTGTGGATGTTTAAACTGCACAGAGAGGAGTTGTAGTAAAACGCACAAAGGGCTGAAACGGAAACTCACGGGCGTAGTAGGCGTGAGCATCTTTTCCCGAGTCGCTGTCAGATCGAAAGCTGGATAAACCGTAGTCGGTGATCTTCAGGACGAAGCGGTTGTCAACGACGCAGTTGGAGGACTTGAGTTTACCGTGAGAGAAGATGACGCTGTTGTGGAGGAACACCATGCCCTGCAGAGAGAGGGAGAAGAGTGGAACTACAGAAAACAGACCTCTCATATCTTAACAAAGAGCTCTCATTCACCCATCCACACACACTGACAGAGTTCAGTGCCTTGCCCAAGAACCCATGTGGACAGGAGGAGGATCGAACCTCTAACCCAGAGGTTGGTCACTCTTCCTGCTGAGCCCCAGATGGTCGTATCAACAATATTTGTTGGAGATACTAATGAATAATAATGTTATTTTGTAAATCAGTGGTTCCCAAACTTTTTTCCTTAAGGGACCCATTTTTCTATCACTGAGTAAAGTCACTACAGGACAAATTTTATATTATATATTATACTCAAGGCATAAGAAGATGAACATTAAAGAACAAATGATCATTTTTACAATAACTGCAGGAAGTTTGTGTAAAACAAGCGAAAGAAACAATTATTTCCTGTGAATGATCAGAGATGAGTTTTACTCTTAAACAAACAAAGGTAAAACACAACTGAAATGACAGCAAGTTAAAGGGATAAGTACACTCACTCAGATAAATTATGTTTGCTGTGTTAAAACTGTATGTTTAGAGCAAAGTCAGTAGGGCTCATTGTTTTATTTGGTGACTTTAATAAAACTCTTATGCATCAGATTGGATTCTGACTCCAATATGTTTAACCACTGTCGGTAAGACTTCCAGAACTTTTTCTGTCCTGGGTTTGAAAAGTTTTACCCCGAAACTTCTGTGACAGATTAATTTTTTCAGATTTAAAAAGGCAGCTTCATATAAGTAATCTACCTTAATCCAATCAATTTTTAAGACCTGTTCAAATCACATTTTAGACATTTTAAGGCCTAAATTTGGTTATTGGATTTTTTCTTAGAAGATACGGAAGATAAATACGGAAATTTACCTTCACAATGTCGTTGATGAGAGAATATTTGAACATCCAGTCCAGAGTGATGCTGTCGTTCTCTAAGATGTCCTGAAGACACGAAATACAGACCGTTCAACAGAAAGACAGACAGACAGATTCATGGGTGGCAAAAACATGAGCTGATTTAATCACAAACAATCACATATATCCATATTTGCTTACAAAAGCCCACAAATATTTTTTTTTAAACTAAAACACATTATTGTGACACATTAGTAAAGAACTGGATAGCAACAAGCTGGCATTAGTAATCAATAAATAGTTTTATTATCATTAATATGACCTTGTCTAAAATGTGGCCCGAACAGATTATTAAATACTATGTTCAGTTCTATTTTTTAACATGTTATTTCAAATGAATGTGTTAAATTTGATAGCATTGGCCAGTCTGTTAAACCCAAAAGACAGACAGGTACACACAGGTAGACAGGCAGGCATACCTGCAGACTTCCTCTGGGACAGTACTCTGTGATGATACAGATGTTGGGAGGGTCGATGCATGCTCCAATGAACCTGGTCAGATGTTCGTTCTGAACGTCTCGCATCTACACAAACACAACATAATATACATGTATATAAATATATGTGTATGTATATATAAAAAGTATAAGAATACAGTATACACAGTGCTCATCAAAAATGTGTGAATTGTGAGTCTGCCTCACAGTGAACTGATCAGCTCACTTTTACTGAAACAAATGTGCTGTTACTCTCTTCCCGAGGTCCTCTGAGATTCAGGTAGGGCTGCACAATGTGGTAAAAACATTATTTTGCTATTATTCTGACAGACATTGCCATATGATTCACCATGAGTATGAGAATGATCATATTTGCTTCCCAAATTAAATTTTCAGTGAAAATCCTGATGATGTTACTTTCTTTAGTGTCAGTACCAAACAAACATGTTTTCTTACATCTGGAGAACGAGATTTGTAAACCAGGAAATCTCAACAGAACTTCAGTTCTTCATTATAATGCTGAGTGTCACAATTTACCTTTTATGAGAAAATTACAGTTTCTGCAATTTGCATATTCGACTTGGACATTTGGGGATTTTTGATAACATTTCGATGAACTGTGCGTACTGTGTGTACTCTCAGCATGACTGACCTGTATGGGTTCACTTTGTTAAGACTGACCTGGTTTGATCTGTTTCAATCCCAGTTTCTCTCATTTCATTGGTTAATTTAGCCAACAATTTTGTGCCACCTGATCGTGTTTACCTGCTCGTTTTAAGCAGCACAGCTCAGGGTTCACTAACTTTTGCCTCTACAAGTTTACAAAGAAAAATTGTATTTGTCTTGTCACTGCACACTTGATTTCCTCAAACATAAATGGAATTAATGAACATACACCTGTTATTGCATATTAAAAATACTGGTTGTGATTATATAAAAAATAGAAAACTCCAACAAAGAGTTCATTACAGCCACAATGTGAAAGCATTGGACAGAAGAATCAACATCCTGATGATTTATTGATTCTTAGAGCTAAATAAGTAAAGTTTGTCCTGATGGTGGCACTAAAGGGACAACTGAATTAACAATTTAGGGTCCCCAGGGGCAAAACTGAGCTGTGGATCTATTAATTTGTGAAACAAACAGGACAAAGACAAGAAACACTCTTTAAAAGTCATTTCCTAAAACAATTTTAACATTTCCACTTTCATGTCCTTTTCATGATCAGCAGCTCCGAGCTCTGACCTTCACACTCCTCATCTCATCTCTGAGAGCAGTATGCAAATTTAAATATGTGAACCACGAGACACTCACATGTTTGAGTTCAAACAGGACCTTCCTGTTCAGCTCGATGCGCTTCCTGTTGCTGTATTTAATGGCCATGATGTTTCCCTGGAAAAACACAAAGAGTAAGATCACTGAACTGCAACACAATAAACCTATACCTAAAACATAATCCTGATCTTAAACTTAATTTTGAACTATAAACCCAAATCCTGAAGGAGTCAGCTGGTTTTCACAAACATCCTTTTCTGGACATACTTTTTATTGTTTGCAATGATTTTATTACTGCAGTCAGCCACCAGGGGCCGATGAACATGTTTTGGCTTTACTTTTTGGAAAACTGTCATGTCGGCCATCTTGATATATGACGATGAACGCAACCCATTCCACCTCCCGTGTAGACAAGAAGTTAAGAGACAAAATGACAGAGTCGGAGCACTTCCTTCCTGCTAAAACGCATCAAAAACTTTACTTAAATGAACAATTAACAGTTTTAAACTGGTATAAAACATTCTCTTTATGAACTACATAAACAAACAAGACCATCAGCGATAAGATTGAATATTTCTATATAGTTATTCTTAATGCCTGCCCATGGGTTGGATTCCCCTTGAAATCAATAAAACAGGGTCGTAGAAACTCTACTGCTCTTGTCCAAAGGGGGTGAAGAAGGTGTGTGGGGCTTTAAATATAATATAATAAGGAACTGCAGCTCTGTCACCGAAGTAACGTTCAAACAATTGGACCACAAAACAACATTTTCCCAAGCAAACATTTTGAGATTCTTCCTGCAACTAATAGGCCATTTCCTTAACTCTGGGTAAATATATCTTTAGGTGGGAAAACAACTTTCTTAGCGTCTAACTGTCAGAAATGTTAATTTTACCACTTCCTGTGTCACAGGAAAGAGCTTTTAGACAGCGTGAGTGTTTTGAGCAATTAATAAAAAATAAAGAGCTGGTCACAGCTGGATGAGAGCGGAGAACGGGCGCTTATTTACATGAAAATGTCTGTAATTGTAGCTCCTATCCTCATTTAGTCCGACTTATTATCACCACAAAGAAGAAAAACAACACACTGACTGACCTTGTAGTATCCAGTCTTTGCAAAAACCTGCAGGTTTCCATCTCCAGTCATTAAGGATCCGTAGTTGGAGCCTCTCTGGAGACAGACACAGGATCAGTGAGTGTGATCAAGAGTGCTTTGAACACACAGGGCTGCTAACACAAAGTGCTTCATATTATGGAGAACACAGGACACAATTATAGAATGGAACAAGTATAATAAGTGACAGAACGAGTATATCACAAGCTCTTGTAAACTGTATGTGTGTGTGTGTGTGTGTGTGTGTGTGTGTGTGTGTGCTGACCAGTGACAGTGTGAGGCGGCTGCCGCTGCGCAGCACTTTGTCCAGGTTGCTCATCTGGATGTCGTCCCAGCAGATCCTCCAGAGCTGAGCCACCAGCTCCTTCTCCAACTTCATCCTCCTGCAGACAAACAGAGACGCAGGCTACAAACCAGCTCGGTATCTTCTTAAGCATCTTTACCCATTTGGAGGAGTTCGAGGATATTTGGTAATTTTAATCAATTGAAATGACTGAAAAACTAGTCTCTGAATTTTCAGGTTTTTCAAGATGCGTGGGAGCCGTCCGTGCGTCCGCTGATAGAGAGATTAAAGCTAACATACAGTATTGTCTTTTTGGGTCAAATGAACACAAATCGTACAGTGGTACAATTTGTGCAAATGATACATGGTGAAAATGTGTTTCCCTTTATGTCTGAATTCCCCTTTATAGAGACTCAGCACATGAAATAAAAAGATCACTAGCAACAGGAAAACACAGCTACCCAGAGAACAGAGAGGACCCAAACATTTTCAATTCAGACACACAGAAGACAAAGACAAATATTGGAAAAACATCCTTCCATATTTCCCCAAAGTTTCCGTGAATTTAACTGTGAAGACAAGCTCACAAACACTGATTTTATGCAAATAAAGAACACTGTATTGGAGGATATGAAAAAAAAAACACATGTTGGGTTGATACTGAAACGCAGCATCAAACTCACAAATCAACAGTTTCGAAACAGTGTGCAACTGCTGCTCGCATTGGTGCAGAAATAATCACATTAAACATGACGTTTGAAGCAAACTGCCTCACTAAGTTGCTGAGACACATGACTGGTTTGTTGCTTAGAAAACTTCTTTTCAGAGACTCGTGGGTGCTTCATGAAAACAGTGTAGCAGCTAAGATGCCTAATCAGAACGCACAGCTGCAGCTCTCACCTGTAGATGAAGACAGTGATGGTGAGGGTCATCGTGAAGATGAAGAAGAGCACAATGGAAACCATCTGGTGGATGGTGATTGTCTCTGTCAGAAAAAGAGAAACTTTTTAACCTCTCATCCACTTTCTATTCAAAGAAACAACTGAATTTAATGCCCTGATTACTTTTTAAGACCTATTTACAACCATTATGAATCCAATTTAAAACCTATTTGAAATACATACTGACAAAGGATATGATGGTTCCATGTTGGTATTGTTTTGTAGTTTTCACAGTTTAAATGATCAATACAAATACAAGAGTCAAAAATATGGTAAATGGTAAATGGACTGTACCTGTAGAGGAAGGTGCTTGGCAAAAAAAAGTGATTAACACATAAAAAATAAGAATCTTACACATAGAACCTTTAAGATATTTTAAGGCCTAAAATTCTGACTATTTGATTTTTTAAGACTTTGCGGACACCTTGATGATTGAATGTTAATTTGTACTTTTTCGCAGGGTTCATACAAAACAACTGAACTAAAAAGAAACTAAGTTGCACTGGACAAATCTTAATGCAGCGTGTGCATGACTGAAGTAAACGTGATCCTGTTTTGTCCACTGACTTGCGAGGCAGATGGGATTGTCATTCTTGAAGCCACAGACGGGAACATCAGGAGGACAAACTCCACCCAACCAGTGCAGTGTTGTTCCAGGTAACGCTGTCAGCTGCTCCTCTGAACTGTTGTACACCAAAACTATCTGGAATAAAACAACATAAAAATGCAAGATGATATATATACGGGTGAGACATTCATCAGTTTTAAGACTACCTCATGAAGCTCATCGAG